CGAAAATCCAATTTAATAAAATATCATGTTAAACAATTTCATGTTAAATTTCTAAGTGTTTTTAGAGGTCATATAGAGGAGAAAAAAACACGACATTATTTGTGATATACGAAGTGCAATATATAATGATCATGTTGTTATTATAATGGTAAATTTTTCCAAATATTTATTGAGTTAAGGGATGGAGATAATTATTTTAACAATGAGGTAGTTAGTAATTCAAGTAGAAACGAGGGAAAAAAATAACATAGGGCCTGTTCTCATATGTTTATTTTCAGTTCAATTCAGTTCAGTTCAGTTCTATTCAGCTCAGCTTAGTTTCGTTCAGTTTAGTTCAGCTCCTAATTTCATTTTCTTATAAATATTCATTTCAGTTTATTTTAGTTCAGTTCAGTTCAGTTCAGTTCAATTCAATTCAGTTCAGTTCAGTTCAGTTCAGTTCAGCTCAGTTCAATTCAGTTCAGTTCAGCTAATTTCAGTCTATTAGCTTAGGCCCTTAATGTGGATATTAATTGTTAATCCATTGAGTTGAATTATTTTTCAAATCTTTACATGCAATTTAAGAATTAAAAAAAGTTGTTTTCAAGTAGTATTCCGTATATCTTTGAGGGTTAAAAATATATGATTAAGACATTTCAAGTAAATTCACTATTACTCATTAAATTATTTTATTTTAAATTATGTGAAATGAATATGAGTATTGTATTAAGATTTGTAAGCCGTGTATCGTATGGATGCTATACTAGTCAATCACAAAAAATAAAAAAAGAAGAATATTTGGAATCTAACATTAAAGTAAATAACAATTCATAAATGGTTTGCTTAATTTAATTTTTTTTTTAATTTTTTGTAGGAAACTGTCAACCATAATTGCATAATTCAAGGCAATAATTTACTTTACTTAGAGTCATATCATCAATTCACAATCAATTAATTTAACCAATCAGAATTTAATATGTATAAAATATGAAATAAAAAACTATGTTAAAAAGTGAAATACATGCAATATGGATAGATCTTTTTGAAACGCCCAAAATAATATCTGGGACTAACAAAGTGAAACGGAGAGAGTATTAAAATTAACGTACATATGTATTATACAAATAAATCACCTATTCAAGGACATAGGGGCAGAGCAATAAATACTATTAATTTCTTATTATGTGATTGCATATATAATGACGTACTCTAATTCCTTCATCCCCCATTGTTTGCTTCATTGGAGAAACTTTGGATGGAAGAAACTGATGATGAGAGAAAGTGATGAGGTTAAATGTCATAGTAATGAGAGTAAAGTAACCAAAAATGTTACCAAAAAAAAATTCTCAATTGCTAATCATCGCCCGCGAATCTCCACATAAAGCCCACAAAATTAGAGTGAATTGTCACTTTTGCCCTCAAAGTAAAAAACACAATTTCTTCTCTCAATTCTCTACTTCCACTTTCTCTCTCTAAAAAACTTTCCGAGCGATGTCGAGGCGGCCCGGCAAGGAAGTGGCGGCACATGCGGCGGGTGGACAGCGGTTTTCCGGCGAGAAGGTATTTTTTATTAATTTTGTGTTTAAAAATTAAAAAAAAAAAAGGTCGGAGGCGGTGGCGGCGCCTAGGCCAGACGCCACCACCACGGCGGCGGCGTCTAGCCCAGACGCCACTACCACGGCGGCGGCGCCTAGGCCAGACGCCGTGACGGTGGCGGTGGCGTCTGGCCCAGGCGCCAGAACCACGGCACCGACGTCTGGCCTAGGCGCCGCCGCCGTGGTAGTGGCGTCTGGGCTAGACGCCGCCGCCACCGTCACGGCGTCTGGCCTAGGCGCCGCCGCCTTTTTATTTTTTTTATTTAATTTTTTTTTGGTTTTAAATTTGAAATTTAATTTTCGAAAATAATTATTTTTTTTTTGATTTTTTTTTAAATTTGTTTTTCTTTTTTTTAATTTTATGTTCTTGTTTATTGTTCTTGTTTTTTTTTTTTTTTGAATTAGTTTTTTTACTTAAAAAAAATTTTATGTTCCCTTTTTTTTGTTATAAATTTTTTTTAAAATTTTGATGTTCTTCTTTTTTTAAGTTTTTATAATTTTATATTTTTCACTTTGTTTTTTCCAATTTGTTTTTTTTGGGTAATTTTTTTTTTTGCTTTGTTTTTTCCAATTTTTTATTTATTTATTTATTAGGTTATTAATTTTTTTATTTTTAGGTTGTTAATATTTTGTAATGTTTTTAATTTATTTTCCATCATATGTATATTGTTTTATTTATTTATTTTAATTACTTTTTTTATGTTTATATTACATGTTTATATTGCATATTACATGTGTTGTTATTTTGTGTTAGGCATCGTATTTTCGTTCTGGGGCTGGGAAGAGTATGGACATTATGAGAAGTACGATGAACTCAATGGAGAGCTCGGGGCCCAGACACGTTAGATCCCGTGGTATTTCGGCCTCGGCTCGTAGAGAACGGGTGCACTATTCTGAGGATGATGAAGATGATGATGGTGATGAGGAGGAGGAGGAGGAGGATGCAGATGAGGATGTGGACGATCAGAGTGGACCATATGATGATTACGGTCCATTCAGTCAGAGGCTTGATGATGTGTATGAGACGCGTAGGGTAGACGTGCGTAAGGGTAGAGATGGTAGATTTGTTAGTAGATCTGGCACATCATCTGCGTCCACTGTGTCTGCGGTTAGCAGAAAACGGTCGAGGGCCGTTAATGATTCTTGGGTGGTGAGGGGCGAGGTGGCTGGGGGACCTATAGACGGGAGTGTGATTCCTAGCTTTCTAGGACACATCGCTACCCGTATTTGGGAGGACCAAGAGCGGGCTTTGGATAGCGGCATTTTGAAATGCCAAACCCGGGAGAGGACTTGTAACTTCTTGTGTAGTTGGGCTGAGGCTTGGCCGGAGGAGAGCGAGATGGTCGGCCGATTGAGGGCCACTAGAGTGAGCCACCTTCCTGCCACCATGCATGAGAGGATTGACTCGACGCTGATCACGGCTTTCGTTGAGCGATGGCAGCCGGACACGAACTCTTTCCACCTTCCGTTCGGTGAGATGACGATCATGTTGCATGACGTCGAGGCCATCCTTGGGATTCCCGTAGAGGGAAACCGAGCATCTGTTGTCACAGATGCGGATCAGGCAGATTTATTGGCGGAGCTGTTGGCGGTGGATAGGGCTGCGCTGTACACAGCGGCACTTGGTGTGTGGGATCACGGCGGTGTTAAGATCGCAGCAGTTTTGCAGCGATGTTTGCACCCCACTTCACGTAGGACGCAGGACACACAGCTGGCTGCATATGTTTTTCTTCTTCTCGGGTGTACCTTGTTTCCGGATAAGAGCGGAAACAAGCTCAGGCCACGCGACATAGTTGACGCGTGTGAGCCCGACAGAGTAGGCCAGTTTTCTTGGGGGTCGGCTACATTAGCGTACATGTATCGCCAGTTAGGATTCTCGAGCCGGGCTGATGCGGCAGGTATCACTGGATGTATGACGTTGTTACAGACGTGGATATACGAGTATTTCCCGGCGTTTCGACCACACCGCGACCCGGTTCCTATTGGGGATGGCGTCTGCGTCGTTGAAGGAGTACGTCGTCCAATGGCCGGCAAGCATGATTGGCACGTGGGAGCAGTTTCCGATGGTTGCCCGCATATGGATTGAGCAGTTGCAGCGGCCGCCAACTGGGGTGGCTGCCATGTGTGACCAGCACTACATGGAGTGGTACAACCGGCACTCGCACCCGAGGTTGATCAGAGACGTCCACCACGGCGACGACGCCGATGATGATGATGTGCCACCGCCCACTGCCGTGGATGCGGTACGTCTCATAAAACATTTGTAGTTGTGTTTTTTTTCATATAATATGTCTCATAATACGTCGTTATTGAATTTTATGTGTTTTGTTATGTGTAGTGGATGGGAAAGATGACGCAGTTGGGACACAGACTTTTTGAGGAGAGGGACAACATGACGACTGCAACAGGCAGAGCTGTTATTGATGAACTGGAACGGGCCCTTGAGCAGTGGCAGTGGGCGTCACAGAGAGATTATTGATATGTCGGCAGTGCATTTATAAAACATTTTCCTAGTTGTTTGTAAAAGTTAACATTATCTGTTCTTATAATTATTATTTTAAGTTCTTAGAATTTGACATTATATTTTTAGTTTTTATAACTTTTATTTTAAGTTGTAATTAGTGGGCATACGAAAACTAAATACAGGTTCACATTTAAATGGGAAAACTAAATACGAAAATTAGAATCCGAAAATTAAATAAATGGGAAAAACATAGCAATAGCAATATTAGGTCACATAGAAAAGGCAACTAGATTGTTCCACTGCTGCACCCGGTCATGATATAACGCATCCCAGCCCTCTACGCTTGCTGTACGAATGGTGTACCACGTTGGTATAATCGGTGGGACCGGAAAATCGGGTGACAGGTCCAGTCGGATGAAATGTCTGTATGACGGCCCCAGAAATCCAATAGCAACCTCTCTTACCGGTCTGGTGACGGTCTCACGCGAACACCAAGGCAGAACCGTGGTACACGGATAGTAAGCTCGACCATGCAAACCAAGGCCGAAATGCATCACTGCACACTTGTAGATGTTTGCAACGGCGAAGAGATCAAGGGGCGCGTCGAACCAATGATTTTGACCGCAACGTCCTCCTCCCCACCGGATACGCTGCAGAGACCTATCCAAGTCCTGTCCGTACACGTGGCGATAAACAGCTCGGTTTGAGGCGATTTCACTGTACATCAACTGACGCACTAAACCGTAGTTGTCTTCACCCATCTGAAACACATCAGCCACAACCCGAAATCCACAGTTACCATCTGCAACCACATCATTCCACCCGTCCAGGAACGGCATCATGATGTTAGGGATCCTGTCTTTATATGGAAAATGTTCAATGTCCATTCTGCCTGTTGCACACATCAAAAAACACAATTAACAAGTTAGCAGAAAACTAAACAAACACTCTAAAAAGTAAATTAAACTAAAGTACCGTACCGGTGCCGGGCATATTCACCGACGAAGATGTTTGACTACCACTTGATGACGATGTACGACCACGGCCACGACCACGACCACGACCACGAATGTACTCAAACGCACTCCTTTCCCGCCGTGGTTGTCGGCCCCGTGGTCGCTCGACCCCCTCAGGTTCCTCATGATCCAAGCACGACGAGTTGAACATGTCATGAAGTACGTGGGTAGCACTACGAATGACTGAAGGGTGGCTGGAGGACACTTGGTCAAACATCGAACGAAACTGCTCCAACTCCTCCTGTTCACGGTTGACTGTCTGTGGATCCAGTCCTTCAGAGCTCTATGAGCGCTCTCAACTCTACATGTAGTAGTGTTTCCAAAATGAAGAACTTGGTTTGTCCAATATTTGACAAACTTTTCCCTCTGAGGCACCCACTGCTGCATCACATAGTCTACGATTGCCGGGCACCATTGGTATGCATCCTTGAAGTTATCCAAGGCTCGGTCGTACTCTGCCTCCGTGGTAGCTTGCAGGATCTTCCGCCACTTACCATTTACCAATCTCTCTGCTGAATCTAAGTTCTTGTTGAAAAGGTTGTAGGCTTTGACTTTCACGCATTTGTTGATGTGCCATGTGCACAGTAAATGGCTCGACTCCGGAAACAGCTCCGCTATAGGGGCAAAGAGACCTCCCTCACAATCGCTGACGATGGCCGATGGCTGAACACTTGGGCCGATGTAATTTCTCAACTTCTCCAACACCCAACGGTAACTCGCAACCGTCTCATCCTTCATAACTGCATAACCAATCAAAAAGTTCTGGTTCGTTGGAGTCATCCCAACCATCTCAACCAGTGGAAACTTATACTTGTTTGTCTTGTACGTTGAATCGATCAGAATCACAGATGGCCAAGACGAAATCATATCAGCACAATCAGGATGCACAAGGAACAAATGAGTCACCTCCGATGTGTCTTCATCAGATTCAAACCAGTACAGGTAACCACGTGCTTGTGCCTGGTGTAGAAGCTGCTGTATAGGGTTCCTTCCCTCTGACCGTTCAAACCTCAATTTATGTCTGACGTTGTAGATGTGTCTTCGGTTTGGCTGGTCTTCAGGAAATTTCTCCAACACAGATGCTAATATTTTAGCAGGCTTCACTTGAGCATCACTCATTTCTTTTACAATTAGTTTCGCAGCAGGACTTAGGCCACTTAACTGTCGATGACCCACTTCATATGCGATCATCTCATGGTTGTGATACCCCCATTTACCGTAACTCTTCACTTCCCAACCGTCACCCCTTTGCTGTTGTCGAACCTTTACTCTGAACTGACACCCACAACCTTTCCGCTTTGTATCAAACCGAATCGCTTGACTGAAATCTCGTTCCTCCCTTTTGCGATAACGGTCGCATCTCAAAATGCGATCCATTCTACCATCCCGTTGAGATTTATGAGTTGCTACTACTAAACAAAAACCTGATCTAATTGCAACCTGTTTCGCCCAATCAACCGCTTGTTGAGCATCTTCGAACAGACCATCGTGTACAAAAATCCCACTATAATCATTTCCGTCTCCACCATAATCCTGCAACAATAACATATAAATATAATCACATAAGAGTAGATTAAATTAATACATTTGACACAACATTAGCACAAAAGCAAAAACAATAATAAATTATAAACAACAAACAAAGAAATAAACAAAAAGTATTCAAAAAAAAAAAAAAAAACAAAACACAAAAATAAAAAACATAAACAAAACTTTAGATTAAATAAATAAAAATAAACCAAAAAAAAAAAAACAAAAAAAAAACATAAAACGAAAAAAATTGTAAAAAAAAAAATAAAAAATAAATAAATTAAAAACAAAAACAAATTAAAACAATTAAAAACAAAACAAAAAAAAAAAACAAAAAAAAAAAGAAAAAAATTGTAACACAAAAAAAAAAAAATAAACAAATTTTAAATTAAATTAAAAAAAAAAAAAAAAAAAAATAGTGGTGGCGCCTAGCCAGGACGCCGCCACCGTGGCGGTGGCGTCTAGCCAGGACGCCGCCACCGTGGCGGTGGCGCCTGGCCAGGACGCCGCCACCGTGGCGGCGGCTTCTTGGCCAGACGCCACGGCCGCGGTGGCGGCGTCCTGGCCAGGCGCCAGAGTTACGGTGGCGGCGTCCTGGCTAGGCGCCACCACTACGGTCACGGCGTCCCGGCAGGACGCCAGCCGCCAATTCGTGGTTTTAGATGGCATCGTACCTCCTTTTCCGGCGTCAACGGCGTCTCTCCGGTGCATCTACCCGACGTTGAGGGCTCTTCGGTTTCACTCGGCGATCCAGTCCTGCTCCACATTTTTTATGAGTGAAAAATTTTATTTTCGGTAAAAATTAAAACAAGGGCAATAATGTCAACATTTTTAAAAAATGTGGGCTTTATGTAGAAAAACGCGGGCGATGTTTAACAAATCCCAACAAATTTACTTAACAGATTCACGAAAAAGTTGAGACAAAAATTAAGGAACAGACGGATGAAATGGTAGATAACCAGGCAATACATTTTTTTTTTTTTTTTTTTTTTTTTTTGGTATTTCACCCGGTTCATCATTTGGGCTAATTTGGTTTCGGGATCAATTCTGGGTGGTTAGGTTCTAGTCCCCTCCCAATTATTGTTGTGAGGGATCGAACACAGGTTCCCTCTACAAGTGTTGTTTGGGGGTCTTTAATGTCCTTCGGGAGAGTTACGATTTCCTAGCAGACTTCCTTCTTACGCCTGTACCTGCACAAGTAACGGAGACTCCGGATGGGGGTGGGAGTTCCGCCTCCGAAGATTAAGTTAGTATCTTTTCGAAGTGGAATAAGGACAATAAAAGCTTCTCGGTTCGAGAGCGTTTCAGTAGGTTTTTGCTTTGTTTTTGTGTGGTTGCAATTAATGTCTGATTGCCATTAATGTGTGATCCCCATAAATGAGGTCTACCCTTACTATTTATAGTAAGGGAGAACTGTACCTCAATTAGGGTACAAGGGACACGTGTCGCAAAGGGATTGGGCCTTTGCAGACCGTTGAAAGATTGACACGTGTCAAGCCTTTATTGGGCCACGTGTCTTAGGGTATTTTTACCCTAAACATCTGCCCCTCACAGGTGAGATGTGGCAAACTCACGTGTCACCTGTGACAGACGTAGGGTGCATGGGGTAAGAAGGTGACTGTTCGCCTTCTGCCTCTGTATATAAGCAGGGTGGCTACCTCTTTCCTCCACACTTTGGATTTTCAAAATTTTTCAAAAATTTCCTGAGCTCTGATACCGGCTGCTTCTTTCAAGACTTTCGAGCATCCGGATTTCGCAAGAACTTGACATCTGCCTTCCGGCTGAGTGCGGATTTAGTAAGGTACCGTCTGCTTTCTCCCTCTTTTTGCCCATAGATTAAGGACCTCCCTCGGCATTTTGCCGCCTGGGTATATCTTGTCAAAAATTTCTGAATTACCCCTACCTCATCCGGGATTTCCCGTCTGAGGTTTTTTGAAATATTTCCTGTTTTAAAATGCCCTCATCCGGCATTTTGCCACATGGGGCTGGCTTGGGACAAGTCCAAAAAATCCCCCTCATCCGGCGTTTTGCCGTCTGGGATGTTTAATATACTCCCATCCGGCATTGTGCCGCATGGGACCCCTTTGAGCCAACTTTGCTTTTAAACATCATTAAAATTGCCCCCATCCGGCATTTAACCGTATGGGGGTAGTTTGAGCAGCCTTGGCTTTTTCTCAAACATCATTCAAATTGCCCCCATCCGGCTTTTAACCGTATGGGGGTTGTTTGAGCAGCCTTGGCTTTTTCTCAAACATCAATCAAATTGCCCCCATCCGGCGTCTAACCGTATGGGGGTAGTTTGAGCAGCCTTGGCTTTGTTTCAAATTGCCCCCATCCGGCATTTAACCGTATGGGGGTAGTTTGAGCAGCCTTTAGCTTTTTCTCAAACATACAAATAGCCCCCATCCGGCATTTAACCGTATGGGGGTCGTTTGAGCAACCTTGGCTCAAACTTTGTTTCAAATTGCCCCCATCCGGCTTTTAACCGTATGGGGGTCGTTTGAGCAGCCTTGGCTTTTTCTCAAACGTTGTTTAAATTGCCCCCATTCGGCGTCTAACCGTATGGGGGTCGTTTGAGCAGCCTTGGCTCAAACTTTGTTTCAAATTGCCCCCATCCGGCTATTAACCGTATGGGGGTCGTTTGAGCAGCCTTGGCTTTTTCTCAAACGTTGTTTAAATTGCCCCCATCCGGCGTCTAACCGTATGGGGGCTGTTTGAGCAGCCTTTAGTTTTTTCTCAAACATACAAATAGCCCCCATCCGGCATTTTACCGTATGGGGGTCGTTTGAGCAGCCTTGGCTCAAACTTTGTTTCAAATTGCCCCCATCCGGCTGTTAACCGTATGGGGGTCGTTTGAGCAGCCTTGGCTTTTTCTCAAACGTTGTTTAAATTGCCCCCATCCGGCGTCTAACCGTATGGGGGTTGTCTGAGCAGCCTTTAGCTTTTTTTCAAACATACAAATAGCCCTCATCCGGCATTTAACCGTATGGGGGTCGTTTGAGCAGCCTTGGCTCAAACTTTGTTTCAAATTGCCCCCATCCGGCTTTTAACCGTATGGGGGTCATTTGAATGAGTTTCTATAAAATACGTCTGATCTATGCATCTTTGTTTCAGCTCTAACACATTCGGAGACTTCCGCCTGTGAAGGTTTCAAGCTATCAACACAGCAAATTTCAACCTCCAAAGGTACCGTCTGCACCCTGTTTCAATTCTTTTTGTTAATTTTCCGGTTGCATAGATAGGATATGGACCCTTCAATTATATACTCGGCACAGCCTACGACTGCTGTCGGGCGGTCACCAGGCACGGCTGAGTCTAGGACTGGGACTGCCGTCTGGGGGTATTTGGGCGAACCTTCACCTACCTCGAATCCGACCGTCTCTGTTCATGTGCAGGACAGAATGGCTCGGATAAGATGGACGGCAGTTGACCCGGATTACAAGTTCGACGACGCAGCCGAAGATCCGGCTGATCCCAGAAACGAGGACCAGACGGCAGGACCGTCTGGTGAAATTCCCTTGGAAGAAACCCTGGGACTCGTCAAGATTCCCCGAGTGATCCGAGCACACCGGGTGACAGCATATTGGAAGACTCTGATTCTAATGCCGAAGGATCCGGCGATGAATCTGCTGGAGAAGAGTCTGGGTCCGAATCTGAAGCCCCTGCACAGGAGGCTGAGCCTATTGATGAGGAGGCCTTCAAATGGCCGGCTAAGGGGGATCCGACTGAC